AAGGAACACTACTTTAAAACCAAAATTAAGCCAACAAACATGCTTCTAAGAAAATTCCCTTGTCACTCTCTCCAGCTTACAGCTGTCCCTCATCTCAATCGCACACGCGGCGGTCGAGGACTTGGCGGATGTCGAGGGTGCGCGAGGCAATGTTGCGCAAGTGCTACAAGCTGAACAGCGCAGTCATGCATCATTCGCGATTTCTGCGGGCTTTTGTCAATCTGGCGGAGGGAACCCGAGCAATGCCAGGGAAAGAGCGACGGTGTCCCCTTTGGTCTAGCCGAGCGGTCTTTAGCTATTGTGGTCTTTCTTCTAGGACCACGTCGCCACTCCTTTCCGCGAAAAGCTCTAAATCTCCCCCGCGCATACCGCCGCGAAGATGCACGCTGTAGACTACCATTATTTCGCCGCTTGTGCCTCACTGTACGACACAAAGGCCTCTCCGGCGAACTGGCCGATAACCCACTCTTTTTCCTTTTACCCCGATGCTTGCTTCCTCCTTCGTGCCTTCGCTTTGTCGCGCGCGTACCCTTCACCTGTCTACGGCGACGCTTGCGACCCGTTTTCTCACAACTAGGAAGTTCGCCTCGGGTTGCGCCATCGGCTGCTCTACAGCTCGAAGGCTCTTCTGTACCACCTGCGACACTATTTTGCCAGTTCGATTTCCCAGCACTGGTGCCATGTCGGGCCGATTCATTTGTCTTAACCTTGTACTCACGCACCCAACTAACCTGGCGCCTCCCATTTGATTTCATTTGCGATGGACCCGCTGGTCCCTTTTCTTTCGTCCGGCAGTTCAGACGTATACAAATGAACCTTGTCACTGACGCAAAATGCCCAGTTCTGCTTGCTGCGCTAATAGGCCTCAAACTTTTCTGAACATGCGTAGAGCTGCTTGCCTCACTCGCGACTTTGCGACGTCTCTTGCGTCTGCGCCGCTTCCTGCGACTCGTCTCTGAGCCTACTGCTCGCAGCTCAAGGTGGCTAACACTCTCACTACACTCGTCAGCTGCCGACGCCGCTCCGTCTAGATGATTTTCGAAAAAACCACCTATTTCACACTCTAGATCGGCGGACAGCTTGACGCTCTCAGGAACAGTGCGGCTGCTTTCCTTTAAACACTCTACCTCGCATTGCTGAGAGCTGTCTGCGACTGCACTGATATCCTCGTTACCCACTTTCGCTGCTTCTGAGCTTTCTTCGGTGTCCTTGCGTACTTCCACACTGTTTGCAAGATCCACCGTCGCGACAAACACAGTTGAGGTCTGTACCAACTTTTCTACAGCTATCCTAGCTGTTTCGCTAACATTTAATTGGCACAGCACCTCGTCGCACTCGCTCTGGCTTTTGTCGGCCTCTCTAATCAGCGCAGCACCTTTCGCAGGACTCGAATTTGGTTCGTCTTCGAACCTGCTGCGCTCTTCACACGTGCTAGCCTTCTCTAAAGCTCTGGGCTGCACCTCGCACTTCTCGTGCGCTACACTTGCGGATGGCCGAATCTTCCGCCGCCTTGCGTCGACTTTTTCTTCCGACAGTTCAATCACTAGGCTGAGTGCTCGCTCACGCTCTTCACCTCGCTCCCGTTTTTCTATCTCCCATTTTCGCTCACTATCTACCTTGGTGCGATAAGAGACACGCGGACCTCTCTCAGGCTTGGTTTTACTACCAGCACAACGTCGCGCGTTCTTCACGGGAGCGTTCGTGAGCTTGCACTCAAATCGCTTTCTGTCAACTCTGATGCCGAAGCACCGCAGTAAAGCTGCCTTAGCTACATCGTACCTATTGAACTGTTCCTCAGAAAGGTATAGTAACCTACCCATCAAGCTGCACGGAAGGACACTCGATAAGGCGAAAGACCAATAGTCCTCGTCGAGCTCTAGTTCTCTGCAAACTTTCTCGTAAGAGGTTAGATAACTCTCTAAATCCTCGCCCCCTTCGAATGCATGGATCCTAGAATTTACCTGAGACCATCGAAAGCACTGTATTGATCTTCTTCTCTCTTCCTGTTTTAATTTCAGGCTTTCCTCCCACTGCTCTCTCTCTTTCTGTCGTTCCAATCTTTCTTTTTCTTCTCTTTCTTTTCTATCCCTGTTTTCCTTTTCTTTTCTTTCCTGTTCCTTTCGTTTCCGTTCCTCTCGTTCGCGTTCCTCTCGCTCCCGTTTCTCCTTTTCCTGTTTTTCAAAAATTTCTACTGCGTTTTGAATCTCGTCCTCACTGGCTTTTTGCGCGATCAGCATCCAAATCGCTGTCCTACCCATTCCTTCCTCTATTTCAATGCCTAGATGCTTACCCACACACAAAAGTTCATCTCTTAGCATTGCCTTCCACGACATGATTGCCGTTGTACTTTGGTCCTGCATCTCACACATAATTAGGGGATCCCTACAACTCAAAACTCACAAAAGGTAATCTCCCTAACCCACACACAATCCAGCTTCTAATAAACTCACACAATTGAAGCCTGGAAAGTCAAAGCAAAGACCAAGCACTCACCACAGCACAGCACCATGTCGCGAAGTCGATCCCGCCGCTGCCAACCAGTTGTAAGATGTTGACGAAGGAGGAAGCAGGTCGTTGGAGGATGCGAAAAACAGAACAGAGGTTTATGACATTATTTACACTTATTTACAGAAAAGAAGGGATAGTGGTTTAACAAACCACGAGCGTGGTGGTTGAACACTACATAGTTCAGAGCCAGGTTCAGAGAGCGCCATGTCCAGCACTCTCCGCGTCGTTTTATGCCCTGTCGGGCTCCTCCTCTCAGAGCCGAACACCAATCACGCACACACAGGTGAGGGAGGCGAGCATACAAGGTCCACGTGAACACTGCACGGTGGTGGCACCAGCAGGGCTGGTCCTCGTCGTGGGTGTGCCGTTAGACGAGCGTTCCCACGATCCTGGCCGCATACTTCAAAGGGCCCACTGCACAGCTCGCCCAATTAGCGGGGCGATCTGCGTGCGCTGTCCGTCGCGGTCTCTTTCAGAAAGACGCCGTCTTTGTTGGCCTCTCTCGAACGGCTAATGGCGTCTTGGCGACACGACGTCTTGGTCCTCCGGCTAGCACGTACAGTGCCTGACGAGCATAGGCAGTCGGCCGGTCGGCTTGGTGATTGGGGATCAAAAGGGAGCACCGCTCCTCTGTCAGCTCCGGCGCCGGCCACGACAGCTTTGCCGTCGCCCGATGAGTCGCCGAGTCCATTAGTCACCGCTTCTGCTTGAAGCGACGACAAAAGGTCCGCTTTTGAAAGACGTGAACTCGCCTCTGCCCGCCGCCTGGTCTGGAATAATCACTCAAATACTTGACAGCGTCGGTAAAACTGGGCGCCGAAGGGATTGAGAGATGAATCCCCAGGCCAAACCTAACAACGGGTAAATCGATGCTGTCTTTTTGAATTTTAGTAAAACCTTCGAGAGAGTGATCTATGAGAAATTGAACCAAAAGCTAAGAACCACAAAATGTTCCCCAGATCTTCATTTTTTTTGGATCGCAGACTACTTGAATAACCGTGAACGGTATGTTACAAATGATGGGCACAGCTCGGGCTATCTGTCAGTCACTTCAGGTGTTCCCCAAGGCAGTGTCTTGGGTCCATTGCTTTTTCATAAATATAATAACGACATAACCTCTATCATCACACTTGGTACTCAAGTAAGACTGTTCGCAGATGACTGTCTTGTGTTTCGTATAATTAGGTCCATTGAAGATCAAAGAAAATTAGACACCAACCTGAACAACATATCCTTGTGGTGTAAAAAATGTGGTATGGCAGCGAACACCGACGAAACAGTCTCCTTTCACATTACTCCTGAAAAAGTGCAATTACATGTACAAAATGGCGTCTATTTCATTAAAACGAGTTAAGAAATATAAATACCTTGGCGTAACCTTCACCGAGAATTTTTCTTGGAACCTTCAAATCGAAAACATGTGTTCCGCCGCATTCCGCAAACTAGCTTATCTGCGACACAAACTTAGAAATTCAGAAATTCTCCTTCGAATGTTGAGTTATCACTTACCTAACCTACATTCGTCTGAAACTAGAAAATGCTTGCGTTGCGTGGGATCTGTATACTAAACTCAATATAAACAAACTCGAGAGAATGCAAAGAAAACCGGTTCGTTTTATTTATAATAAATACTAACGTTCAGACTCGCCGTCCCAACTAATGTTGGCTAATGTCATTCCTACTCTTCAACTGAGAAGACAGAATGCAACCGCCTGGATTTTTTACATAAACTTATTAACTACAAATCCAGCCTCGGCCCTTCACTTTATATGAGTCCTCATTACACAAGGGAAACACGGCACCATCGCTCTGATTCACAAACACCCATCCATGCCAGAACCAACACGTACAAGTTTTCCTTTTTCCCACGGACAAGTTCAGAATGGAATTCTCTGCCGACAGCTTAGAACCTGTGACAATCTGCATGACATGTAGCTTTATGCAGATTATTTATTAACATTGTCTTACAATTTTGTTACATTCCTTTGAATATCTACGTAAATGAATGTATGTGTATACTTTCATTGTAATAATATATGTTTAGCTCAGTGTAAAACTATGTGTGTCCTTTCTACAAGGACCACTACGTGGTCGGCAGTATGTACTAAATGCAAACAAAAAATAAAATAATGCAACGTGGTATTTGCTTCTGTAGTTTCATAACCGTGATCACACACTAACAATTTCATGACGTAAGTAGAAACTAACTATAGATACTTATGCTCGTCTTTCTTTTTTTAACCTTAAATTCACGTGAAACTCTCATATTCTGGTAGCAAAGTGTGGACCACATAAGAATAGCGGCGTCACATTATTCAATAAGCCTACCACAGTACCTTCCAGCTTAGCTCGAAACTCCCGTGTGCCCTTATACAAAAATGTATATGTAAAAGTGAATTGAGTAAAAGCGGTGCATTTAATGTGATCTTTCAATTGCTCTTGTAATTTCAAATGCTCCGCATATGCGCGATTCTCTGTGATCTATTTTTCAGGTTATTCAGGAGATGGCTACACCTGCTCCGATATCGACGAGTGTCTCTTCAACAATGGTGGCTGTTCCCAGAATCCCCGCGTAGACTGCTACAACACTCCCGGCTCCCGCTTCTGCGGTCCCTGTCCTCCAGGTCAGTGCAGTGCGAACCTTTCTTCTACATGTACACCATGTATGTGATACGAGGGGAAAGATGGCCCCCTTAGCTCAGCTGTTTGGACATCACTGGTTTTATACGAAGAGTGTGGGTTCAGTTCCCACATCCTTTCATCCTTCACACTGCATTGTTTTTTTTTCATCCATGTTAGTCAATATGTAGCCGCTAAGAGGTACTTGCTTTAGGCTTTTATGTTTGACGACTATCGCGAGTCATACAATGGGGCAAGGTTTATCCACAAACAAAGGGTAAATTCTGCCCCGGTGTACGACCTAGGATGGTTCCACTAGTCCCATCACTCTCACTAGTCACTATTCTCACAGTTCACCACCACTTTCACTACTGCTCCCGCCCTTCCTTCAGTTACCCACTAAATGCTCCGTCATTCCCATTTGATTTTAATTTCTTCCCCCTTCATTCAACGCTAATTCACGCTACCTCCTTCTCGACGTCTGAATTTTCTTTATCGTATACACTTTAGTGAAAAACTGCAAATTACACTACCTGTCTTCTTCTTGTCTTCAATGTTTGTTTCATTTATATGTGGTGGTTTTCAGAGTTTTCTCTTATTTCAGTGACGGAAGATAACGGCCCTGCAGATTCATCTTCTTCTTTTGATAACGCCTATTCAACTTCCCAGGGCGTTACATAAAAGAAACAAAAAAGACACAATTTTCAAATATTACTTCACTTTACCAACTGTCACTCTTTACTCCGATAACTTTCAGGAGTTACTGTGTAGCGAACCGCACATGCATCTGGTTAACATTCGTGCTCGCCTTTAGTTATACCACTCGATTCTTAGTTATTCTTTTCTTCTAGGCCTCAGTGGTAGATTGATATTGAGTTGTTCTTTCACTAACGCTAACTAGAACAATGCAACCTCCTTTTTATGCTGTTCTTAGTTTTGAGTTATATTTCTGCTTTTGCTGTCAAACCTACCATTGGCGTTTCTATGCTTATACACAGGATACGTTGGTGATGGTGTCAGCTGTAATTACGTTGGTGCTTGCAACGTCAATAATGGAGGCTGCAGTCCCATAGCCACATGCATCGGTAAGTGAGTTGACAAAAAAAACATACCATATAGACACAAACATTCATATTCTTTATCTAATGCAAAAACGCGGTTAACGGTTCATTCACAACTTATCAAGTCGACAACATGTTTCTTTCTATTTTAAATATAGCTGCATATTGTATTAAGGACATATATAATTAACGCCTAGCCGAAACAGCCTTTGTGAACTTGAAATCAGACCCAGAAATATTTTTATTAGTATACACTAATGGTGATCTGCATTATGGTCTCAGACACACTGCATTTAAAAAAAAGCAGACTAGGACAGGATACGGCATACAACTGCTCCAATGGCAGATACCAACCTCCAGCTGCTCCAGATACCAGCTGCTTTTCTTTGCCAACCTTCCGGGAAAAAGTTAAACAGCTTCTGTTTAGCATTAATGTCATGTTCTTCTGTCTCCTCTTTTGTAGCTCTATTATTGTGTGCGAGTGTGCTTTTGTGTTTTTTTCTAAAAATGCTTTTTGTTGAATCTCTGTAAAAACTTTTTTGTGTGTGTGTGTAACAAGAGTTACTTTATTACACATATTAATGCTTACAGAGTTTGACTACAGGTTCAAGGAATGGATAAAAACTGTGTATGGTTTGCCTGATATTGTAGTATAGTTGGACATAAACTTGAATAAGGTTTTGAATTAGAGTTTCTAAGCTATTTGCGTTTTGTATTCAACTGCTGCTTGTGTGATTGTGCTGCCATAGGGCTAAGGGCCTAGTCAGGTGACTTTAAATGTTGCCTTTTGCCATAGCCCAAGGGCAACCTCTCTTATTGCCGAAAAATAAACAATAAACAGTAAACATCTGAACGAGAAAAGCCCAACCATAATTGATTTTGTTCGCATGTATCGAACGTATACAAGAAACGATCGAGCTCTGTGGTGATGCTGACTAGGGCAAACTAATCGTACGTGTGCAGTGAAGGTAAAGTTATTCAAATCCAAAAGTTTTAGCCATCCGTAAAACGTGCGAAGCTACAAAAGAACGCAGCATGAATTTTCCGGGTAGAAAGCTTCTAAAAAAACCTATTTATTAATCAGGACCCCAAAATTCCCAAGGAGGACAAATCCTTCTGCAACTGTGGTACACCCGCATACCCATTTCTGGGCTTTAAATCGCGTGATAGCGAGTAGATTTTGCAGCCTTATAGTGAACGACGTTGGGTCTGATGGTACTGCATAACAAAAGCAAAAAAACAGCGCTCAAGAGACGGGCACCACAAAAAACGACACACAATGAGCTCGTGTGAGCTCATGTGTCATTCTTTCTTGTCGCCGTTCATTCAGCGCTGGGTTTTTCGTTTCGTTTCGCAGATCAACCAACGTAAAATCTAGGCAGGAGCGAAACATGTAGTGTTCTTAGAAAGACTTCTTCGGTGAGACATTAGTGGTGCCAAGCCTGAAGCGGGGCACATAGGCCAGGGTGTCTCCGCTCCACTAATGTCGTCGGCTATTTCTCGGGCTCAGTGTCGCCTTCATCATGCTTGGTGAACCGGTGGCGAGTAAAGGGATGCACTCAGTGTGATGCAAAACTTTTTTTGTTATGATGAATCATGACTACATGACACATCACGATGACAGGAGACGCCGAGAAGCCGATCGCCTAAGGTGCAACGCATCCATAACAAATATAGGTGTCCGCTGACAAAACCGCGTATCTGCCACATAAAGTGGGCAAACCCCATCAAATTGTCGAAGAAAAAACATGCATGTGGCTAAAATACGCATGCTGCTAAAAGTGCCCCAGAAAATTGCGCACACTACAACAAACGCATGCGGCGAGCCACACAAGACGACGCATGTTTGGGCAAAAGCCCGCATGCCGTTCAAATTAAAAACATTAGGGGAACACATGCTACAGTGTAAGCGGACTCTCCGCATCTTTCTCCACTTTTCATGAGACTGTTATGCTTTAATCAAAATTCTGGTGACAATAAATTTCAATTGATGGTGTTGATGAATTTAGGTGACACTAACACGCACTGCCACTTGCCAGCTTCCAAGTTAGCTCGAGTAACACAATAAGATGCTGGTCTCCGACTCGGTCCCTATACTAGGTTAAATTTTTGGCAGCTAAGAAGGTTTCTTGTTGAAAACCTCACGCTGATTTTCTTGTAGCTTCGCGATTCGAATCAATTGTTGTTAGTTACTGCGCGTGATTCTTCCGAGCAGTGATACATTGAAAGGGCTGCGTGGAGAGTTCCACTCACTTTTAATTAAATGTGATTAAATATGTCACAAGGAGAGCTCATTTCTTTTGTCGGCTATGAGAAACTGCATTGCCGATAGGTGTCACAATACCTGAGCAAAATTATAAACGTTCAAGGAAGCAACAGCTAAGACAACCGCTATACACAGCAGGCTCTAGCGTGACATTCGCTCATTGTAGCACCGTTTCGCAGTTCGCTCAGGCACATTCCACGAGTGCCGCTGTCCACCGGGCTACGTAGGCAATGGAGTTGGACCAAGCGGCTGTCTGCGCCAAGGCGACCCCGGAGTTGGCCCATCTCAGCCTCAGCCAGTACCGGCGTTGCCCCCTGTTTTGGATCCGTGTGCGGCGCAGCCCTGCAGACACGGCTTTTGTCAGGTAACGTGTGCCCGCCCAGCGACTGTGGCAGCTTGTGGTGCCAGGTGTTCACGTAGTCAACCGATGAGAAATAACTGAGCTATACTCGGCCACAACTTTTCTTGGCACTGAAGGTAAAGCTATGGAGGCGGAGCTTCTGCAGACGTATAGCACTACGCGAAGTAGTCAGTTTTGTCACGCGTCTCGAAACGCTGTGTAAAGTGACAGGGCGCACCATCAGCGTTACATGTAGGCGCAGACGCCCCTTAGCGTTTGAGGTGCACGTAAAAAGGCGGGACTTTTTCACGCGTTCAAAAACGTTAAGTCACAACATATAAAATAAAAAGAGAGAGAGAGAGAATAAAATGAGGGAAATGCAGGAAGGTTAACCAGAAAATGGTGCATCCGGTTTGCTACCCTGCACTCGGGGAGGGAAGATGGGGAAGAAATATGGTAAAGTGGAGAGGGAAATAGACGCGCGCAAAAAGAAGAGGGGGGGGGGGCTGGGGTGCAATGGTCTATACAATAGGCCACTGCCACGTAAAAAGTTCAGTAAGGCCTTCACTTATTTTCTGTGAGCACACAAATCATGTCGCCTTTCAAGCACTGATTGTTCAGACAAAGGTCTGTCGTCAAGGCAAGCTAACCCAGCACCTAGCTGCCGTCTTTGCACGCTGTAACTAGGGCACTGACAGAGAACGTGCTCTATAGTTTCATCGCTGCCGCAATGACCACAAGCAGCACTGTCTTCCATGCCGATTCAGAAGGCGAAAGCTTTGGTGAAGGCGACACCAAGCCATAGTCAGCAAAGCACCATTGTCTCGAGTCGAGAGAGTCCAGATGGAGGCCGGAGTCGACGAGACGTGTCCAGTCTTTGCAGTCGCGTGTGCTGTAAGCACTCGGCGATCCACAGGGATTTTAATTCTGCATTAGCGATTTTTCGGATTGTCATTGCAGCATCAGTCCTTGAAAATGGTATAGATTCTTCTTCACCATCTTCGTGTGTTGATAGAGCAGCTGCATTGGTACGTTCATTGCCCAATATGCCGCAGTGACTTGGAAGCCACTGAAACGTGATTCTGTGTCCTTCGTCGAAGAGGTGGTGAAGCAGCTCTCTAATTTCCAGCACTGAGGTCCCCGGCGTAAGGCGAATATCAAACAGGCTTCTTGGTGTTTAATGACATTAACTGCGCTACGTAGAGCAACAAGTTCCGCAGCTGTCGCTGATGTCTGCTGGGATAACCGAAACTTCACCGTTGTCGCTGTTGCAGGAAAGATCACCGAACCTGCAGACCCATCCACTGTAGTTGAAGCGTCAGTATGAGTATGCTCACTGCACTTCTCATATAACAAGAGAAGATAAAGCTGCTTTAGCGCTGGATAAGAGAGCCGGGCTTTTGACCCTATGTCTGGAACAGTGAGTTCAACATGTGCATAAGTCATACTCCATGGGGGAGTTGAAATTCTGGATGGAGTTGTATATACCGTAGGAATACGTGTGCGATATGACAAGACTGGCAAAATGAGGTATGAGGGCGGCCTTCTGGCAGTGAAGCTAAATGATGGGCGGGGGCGCGAGTAAGATGCCTCACGTGTGCTCTGAGCACTTCTAATATTATATGCGTCTTGAGCGGGTAGCCATCAGCGATCTAGATTGTCTCAGCTGTTCATGAACATCGCGGTAGCCCCAGACAAACTCGCAGAGCCATAGCCTGGATGCTTTCGAGAGTCCGAATGCTGGTTCTACAGGTAATGTCAACACAGGCAAACTGTAGCGCAAATAGCCAAAAAAAAGCGTCCTGTACAATTGCATCATTGCATGTACTGAAGTCGCCCAGGTTTTTCCTCCAAGATACTTGAATAAGTTAGCAATTTCTGTCAGCCTCTTCTTGAAGTGGGCCACATGTGGGTCCCAGCAGAGGTCTCTATCAATGAATACGCCTAGAAATCTGTGCGTCCTGACATATGGTATGACTCGGCCGGCGATAGATATAGCGTATGTTCTCATTGGCTTTTGACTAAAAGCAATTCAATGCGCATTTCGCTAGCGAGATTTTCAGACCATGTTCCTTGAGGTACATTGATACCAACGTCCCAGCTTTCTGAAGTCTTGCGCGTACCTGAGGTCTTGTCACGCCAGATGCCCAGACGCAGATGTCGTCAGCGTACATGGATAACTTAACCACACTTGGTAGTCGTTCTACAAGACCAATGAGAACGAGGTTGAAGAGGGTTGGACTCAAGACGCCACCTTGTGGAACTCTACGATGCGTTGGGTGTTGGGAGGTAGGACCATCTGCAGTGTTCACAAATAAGGTCTGCCCTTGTAAATAACTGCGTGTCCAACAATACAGTTGTCCGCCTAGGCCCACTAACTAAATAGCTTCGAGGATGGCGTCATGTAGAATGTTGGTGTATGCTCCTTTTACGTCAAGGAACATAGCAGCAGATAGTCGTTTACATGCCTTTTTTTGCTGGACATATGTGATGAGATATATAACATTGTCGATAGAAGATCGGTGATGGCGAAAACCAACCGTGGCGTTCGGATATTTCTCATAGTATTCCATGTACCATTCAAGCTTGGCCAAGATCATTATCTCCATTACCTTTCCTACGCAACTTGAAAGTGCGATCGGTCGGTAAGAGGTAATGTCCAGGAGAGATTTGCCATGCTTAAGTATCGGTACCAAGCGGCTAATCTTCCAATCTTGCGAAACGACGCCAGCTTGCCAGGAATATATATATATATATATATATATATATATATATATATATATATTAAAATGAGGCGTTTTAGAGTGGCACTCTTTTATAAAACAGGAGAGCGTTCACGACACGTCAAGCGGTAATGGCGGAACTAGCCTTAGTACCCAGCCAACCAAAACGTCGTCTTCTTCACCGACTGAGTCATACCCCCTGCCTTTCTGAGTAGCCCTCATCTATATATATATCATCATCATCATCATCAGCCTGACTACGTCCACTGCAGGACAAAGGCCTCTCCCATGTTCCGCCAGTTAACCCGGTCCTGTGCTTGCTGCTGCCAATTTATACCCGCAAACTTCTTAATCTCATCTGCCCACCTAACCTTCTGTCTCCCCCTAACCCGCTTCCCTTCTCTGGGAATCCAGTCAGTTACCCTTAATGACCAGCGGTTATCCTGTCTACGCGCTACATGCCCTGCCCATGTCCATTTCTTCTTCTTGATTTCAGCTATGATATCCTTAACCCCCGTTTGTTCCCTAATCCACTCTGCTCTCTTCTTGTCTCTTAAGGTTACACCTACCATTTTTCTTTCCATTGCTCGCTGCGTCGTCCTCAACTTAAGCTGAACCCTCTTTGTAAGTCTCCAGGTTTCTGCTCCGTAGCTAAGTACCGGCAAGATACAGCTGTTATATACCTTCCTCTTGAGGGATAGTGGCAAACTACCTGTCATAATTTGAGAGTGCTTGCCGAATGTGCTCCACCCCATTCTTATTCTTCTAGTTACTTCAATCTCGTGGTTCGGCTCTGCGGTTATTACCTGCCCTAAGTAGACATAGTCTTTCACAACTTCAAGTGCACTATTACCTATCTCGAAGCGCTGCTCCTTGCTGAGGTTGTTGTACATTACTTTCGTTTTCTGCAGATTAATTTTAAGACCCACCTTTCTGCTCTCCTTGTCTAACTCCGTAATCATGAGTTGCAATTCGTCCCCCGAGTTACTCAGCAATGCAATGTCATCGGCGAAGCGCAGGTTACTAAGGTATTCTCCATTGACTCTTATCCCTAACTGTTCCCATTCTAGGCTTCTGAAAACCTCCTGTAAGCACGCGGTAAATAGCATTGGGGAAATTGTGTCCCCCTGCCTTACACCCTTCTTGATTGGTATTCTGTTGCTTTCTTTATGAAGCACTATGGTAGCAGTTGATCCCCTGTAGATTTCTTCCAGAATGTTTATATATACTTCATCTACGCCCTGATTCCGCAGTGTTTGCATGACGGCTGATATTTCTACTGAATCAAACGCCTTCTCGTAATCTATGAAGGCTATGTATAGAGGTTGGTTATACTCTGAGCATTTCTCTATTACCTGATTGATAGTATGAATGTGGTCAATTGTTGAGTAGCCTGTTCGAAATCCTGCTTGTTCCTTTGGTTGATTGAATTCTAATGTTTTCTTTACTCTGTTAGCAATTACCTTTGTAAATAGCTTATATACTACAGAGAGCAAGCTGATCGGCCTGTAATTCTTCAAGTCCTTGTCATCTCCTTTCTTATGTATTAAGATGATGTTAGCGTTCTTCCAAGACTCTGGTACTCTTCCCGTCAGGAGACACCTCGTAAACAGGGTGGCTAGTTTTTCTAACACAATCTGTCCTCCATCTTTCAGCAGATCTGATGTTACCTGATCCTCACCAGCAGCCTTGCCCCTTTGCATGCTCTCCAAAGCTTTTCTGACTTCTTCAATCATTACTGGTGGGGTGTAATCTGGGTTACTGCTAGTTCTTATAGTATTAAGGTCGTGGTTGTCTCGGCTACTGTACAGATCTCTGTAAAACTCCTCCGCTATTTTAACTATCCTATCCATATTCGTAGTTATTTTGCCTTCTTTGTCCCGCAGCGCATACATCTGATTTTCTCTATTCCAGGTTTCCTCTTCACTGCTTTGACGTTTACTCCGTTTTTCAGAGCGTGTTCGATTCTCTCCATGTTACACCTCCTTACATCGGATACCTTACCCTGATTAATCAATTTCGAACGCTCTGACAGTTCTATTTTGTCTGTTGTACTTGACACTTTCATGATTTGACGCTTCTTAATTAGGTTCTTCGTTTCCTGGGAAAGCTTGCCAGTGTCCTGTCTAACTACCCTGCCTCCAACTTCCACTGCACACTCCGTAATGATACTCGTCAGATTATCATTCATTGTATCTACGCTAAGGTTGGTTTCCTCACTAAGAGCCGAGTACCTGTTCTGCAGCGACACTCTGAATTCCTGCACTTTCCCTCTCAGTGCTAGCTGATTTATTGGCTTCT